TACCGATATTCTGAAAGGTCAGAGCAAGTACTAAAGGGATTAAAACAAGAAAAGTCTAGGTTTCAAGATGCATATCCTTTAATGTATTTGAACAAAGTAAAAAAAAAAAATAGTAAAAATAATTCATAGCAGTGCGAAAATGCTACAATTCTTCGTAGATGCAGAACTTGTTTCTGGAGAAAAGCTGGCGTGTCCCCTATTTGCCCAGCACAAATATCCTTGTCCGTGCAAGGCAGATTCCAATCAGATTCCACATATATTAGGTACATTTACTCATGTAGGAGTTCACTGACAATGAGTCAAACATATTTTGAAGCAATAAAATATACATGGAAACAGATACTAGCAACAGTAAAGAAAATTATACTACATGTCTTACAAATTATAGATATAAAAAATAGAATAATCGCAAGAACATTTGTTGTAGGATTCCAAGACTGGAGGCTTGAAGGGACGATCTCTAAAGTCTACACACTCCATAGCTCTGAGCTTTTTTTCATATTTAAATTGACCCTTTAACTTCCTGGTCTGCTAGCCTCCCTCAACAGAGCCAAATAACATATTGAAGGATACTTACCACTGACTCCCTCACTGTATTCATACATTCTCACAAGGTTAACACAATAAAGGAGTTTAAGCATGCGTGGGATAGGCATAAGGCTATCCTAGCTATAAGATAAGGCCAGGGACTAATGAAAGCTGTGGCTGAGGACAGGGGGAGCCTAGTTCGCCTAACATTGGTGCCGGCCCTGGCTAACAGTGAGACAAAGGGCTCATTGTGTGTTTCAGGTCACCTTCTTCAGCACTGTGCCTTTGATAAAAGCACAGGAAAGTGTAGAAACGTTGTATTTTCCTCTGAACCCCAAATAAAAGACTGCCTGTAAGCCATTGCGTGTGCCCAGACTTATGTATATGTATATGTTCCAGCTGTATCTGGATGTGTGTCAATGTATGTCTGTATGTGCATGTGTTTCTGTGTGTGTATTTGTATCAGTGTGTGCGACAGTGTATATGTGTATGTGCATACATCTCAGCATTCAAACGCCAACACTATACACAAAAACTCCCCTGCATTCAAATGCCAACACTACATACAGACACATCCCTACATTCAAAGACAAACATTACCCATTAGTAAACCACTGCTTTCAAATGGCAACAGTACATAAAACACACAACACTACACACAAATACACCCCTACATTCACACATATACTCCATACACAGTGGCGTACACACAATCCATGGGGCCCCGGTGTAAAACTGATCCATCTCCATCGGGTGGCCCTAACAGCATGGGCCACCCGATAGACAGATTGAACGGTGGCCCCGGCGGTTTGCCGCGCAGCCGGGGATGCAAAAGATGGCAGTGGGTACCCGGCCGTAGAGGTCCGCAGGGCGACCGGGCCCCCTGGAATTATTAATATAAAAAGTAACCAGTTTAACATTTTAGGTTTATTTGCTATTTTTAACTCATTTCTTTTCACATAAGACGTGCTCACACTATTCTATGCTTGTCAAACATCCATAAACGGAGTATAGAACTCCTCTGATATTGGCAATTTTGGATCATGTGATTTCCACCATGTAACATATTGTAAATTTCCTATTTCATGTCATGTGTAGTGGAGCTCCAATACCCCAATTGGTTATCTCTGCTGGATTCCCCTCATAGCTAGAAGAAGTGTTGGTTCGTGAATATAACTCTTACCCTCAGTAACTAGACGACAAATAGTTCTGGGAGTACATCGGTTTTTATTGAGCCAAATGCAGCCTCTTAAGCACAGACTCCCAGCATGAGATCTCCATTTAACACATATAGGCGCATCTGTGTCTTAGAGATAATTGAGTTAGTCCTCACTTAAACTGATTATCTCCTGGATACAGAGGACCTAACATAAAATACCACAAAACAACACAAAAAAACAAGCAGGAACCCCAGCATTTCATATATCTTTGGATACCTCTAATACAAGTGCCCAAGTGGGCAAAATAGTGCCCAGATCCATGGAGAACTGACGAATCGCCATGGGGGTAAAGATTTGACTGTCTTTTAGCAAAGTTAATGTTCAAATCAGTTTCAGAGCTAATGTCTGATTAGCTGGCAAGTTATCATGAGCTCCTGCGAACAAACAAAAGGGGGCGCCCCCTGACTCTCAGGGAGCAATTGGTCCCGTTAGTCTATAGTATCTACCTTCCAAAGAGCTCTCCTGGCAGGATGGGAAGTAGGGTAAAACATAGAGGTAAACTGACCAGGCCTTGGACAGGGATGCTGCCAAGCCAAAGTTCCAAGTACTTTGGGGCTAGGTCCTGCTGGACAGCTTTAAGTGTTTTGGTCCAAGCCTGCCAAGGTAGAGGCGCTTTCAGAGATTTACAATTGAGGAGACACAGCACTGAGCCAGAGCTGGTGGAATAGCTCTTTCGGGGAAAAATACGGGGAAAATGGTCCATGTGTCTCCACATTCTGAAACATGCTGTTTTTTTAGTACATTGGACAAAACACATGACTTGTTTGGTGCCATGAGACATATCATTTGATTTTGTTTCTGTACATATGACATTCTGTGAATGTTTTGGGTGACACAATAAATGATTCATTAATAAATGTTGTATATTGTAAACACTATTTGGGATTACAGATCATTACACATTTTGAACAGTTAATCCGAAATGTAAGATGTTGCCATTTTTGGACCTGTCTTCTCAAATAAAAGACTGTTTTTTACATGGCCACTGTGTTGTAACTATTGTGTTTAGTGAAAGTGGACATTTCAGTACTTCCTAAGACGTGGAGAGCATGATGGCTGCAGTACTTTGTTCTGTAGGTACGGCAGCAATGCTGGATCGTATTAATCATTCGGAGGTAGAAGCAGAGTTTATCGGCTATTGTAGAGTTGAGATGATTCTTCACTCTGCTTCTATATATATTTTAAGTTACAAATGTATAACTAACCAGAGGAAGACGTTCTTCCGCTTTATTGAGTTTAGTAATTATGATCGTCTTTCCCATCATTTCTTGCCCCATTTTATTTCTGTTCTTGCACATAATTAAATCCTTTGGTAACATTAATTGTTGCAATCTGCAGCAGTATACAGAATCTGAGAACTCACTTGGAGAAAATTATCGAAGTGTCCCATTTAGAAACATTGTGCAAAGATGTAATATAGCAAGAACGCCAGAAGTGTGCATTCTGGTTCTCCTGGTTTCCATGTGATTGCCTGACTTTTAGTGATTTGCACCATTTGCTAAACTGATCTTATCTCACAAATACACCATATATTTAGCCACAACAAATCATGGTCCTCTGCTTCCTGTTTCTCTCTATCTAGTTGTGAAAAATAACAATCTGTGCCAATAGTCAGGAAACCAAAATTGCGTATACTAACAGCTCTTGTTATGTCCATAGATCTGTGTACTGTCAAATGGAAGTGTGACGGTATACCCTCTCGAGGATGGATTACTAATGCCTGTGGTTGCCAGTTGTGCCCAGCCCTAGAGTGATTATAGCTGTGAGCCAGTGATTATAGTTGCTTGCAGAAGGGCTATAGTGGTATTAAACATAGCATCTGACGGCAGATAAGAACCATTCGGCCCATCTAGTCTGCTCAATTTTCTAACTACTTTCATTATTCCCTGGCCTTATCTTATAGTTAGGATAGCCTTATACCTATCCCACGCATGCTTAAACTCCTTTACTGTGTTAACCTCTACCACTTCAGCTGGAAGGCTATTCCATGCATCCACTACCCTCTCAGTAAAGTAATACCTCCAGATATTATTTTTAAACCTGTGCCCCTCTAATTTAAGACTATGTCCTCTTGGTGCGGTAGTTTTTATTCTTTTAAATATAGTCTCCTCCTTTACTGTGTTGATTCCCTTTATGTATTTAAATGTTTCTATCATATCCCCACTGCCTCATCTTTCCTCCAAGCTATACGTTTTAAGTTCCTTTAACCTTTCCTTGTAAGTTTTATCCTGCAATCCATGAACCAGTTTAGTAGCCCTTCTCTGAACTCTCTGCAAAGTATAAATATCCTTCTGAAGATACGGTCTCCAGTACTGCGTACAATACTCCAAGTGAGGTCTCACCAGTGTTCAGTACAATGCCATGAGCACTTCCCTCTTTCTACTGCTACTCCCTATACAACCAAGCATTCTGCTAGCATTTCCTGATGTTCTATTACATTGTCTGCCTACCTTTAAGTCATCAGAAATAATCACCCCTAAATCCCTTTCCTCAGATGTTGAGGTTAGAACTCTATCAAATATTCTGTACTCTGCCCTTGGGTTTTTATGTCCAAGATGCATTATCTTGCACTTATCCACATTAAATGTCAGCTGCCACAACTCTGACCATATTTCTAGTTTACCTAAATCATTTTCCATTTGGCTTATCCCTCCTGGAACATAAACCTTGTTACATATCTTAGTATCATCAGCAAAAAAAAATACTTTACCATTAAGACCTTCTGCAATATCACTAATGAAAATATGTTTTGAACTCCATCCTTAGAGGACGACTGTAGAAAACAGTTGGCCCCTTTGTAACACACCTCTTAAATAAGGTAACTTCCTATCCCACCCCACTTATTGTTATACTACCATGCATACAAATCGTTTAGCCTGGAGTTTGGTTCCTGAATTCTTTAGAAAATCATGGAACAGCTGCTACACAAAGGTTGAGGCTCACATGTGGTCTGCTCCCTACACGTCCCCCTACTAAAAACATAACTCATTTAGATTGTTATGGAAACAGGAATACCTTCAGCGGTTAAAACATTTATAAATGTTTTAACCCTAAATTTGAGGCTCTAGCAGCCAACACTTCTACCACCCGAGTCTTTCCTCTCTGCACTACAGTATTAGCAAGGTTTAGCTGGGCAGTCGATGAGAGACTGAGAGAATCAGCCTACAAATGGATAAGAGCCCATTTCAGGAAATTATTAAGTCACATAATATAACACAGATAGTAAATCTCACGGTGAGAAGTGCAGACAAATTTTTAATTATTTTTTGGAAAATGTTATTTTATTCAGCTATTTATTAAAAATGTGTCTACTGTCAGTTCTGATTATATCAACTGTAGAGGCAAGTACATATAATGAACCACCAATACATTAGTTTAAAACACATTTCTCCTCTTCAGAGTATCCAGATAAACTCAATGGGTTTTGGCCCATAAGATCTATTATGCAGTTTAGAACAGTTCAAATAAAAAGACTAATTGAATATCACAAGGAATGATCCAGTGTGGTTAGATATACTGAAGCTCACCCAGATATCCCTTGTGGCTATTTATGGAATTGCAGGATAAAGAATTGTATTGGCAAAAATTTAAATCAGACATCCAAAAGGAATGTGATGCTCAGCTCTGTTGTTTAAGTTGTAGCTTGCTTTATAACAATATATGTGAGCAAACATTTCTCTTTTTCAATAATTTGCATTCTGTCATTAGTGATTTTAAATATTTTTTTTACAAAATGTTGTTCCAAACAAATCCCTCTGTGTTGCAAAAATATATATTTTTAACAGATATTTAAATATGATCTCTATTGCAACGCAACAACAAATCCGAGATTAACATTTTGGCCTGTCTGCTTTAACGTAGGAGTAAATTCCAATCGAACGTCGGTCACTGATCAGTAATGTTTTGTGACTTTCAGACAGTATCGAACAAACAGTGTTGAAAGCAATCACAATCGAAAAAAAAATGCAGACTTTTCTTCTGCCATCGATGCTAAGTCAGTAATCATTAACCAGACAGGTGGCATTGTATCAGGTGTGTTCTTAACCTATTATGTTCCATAAGGACATATTATGTTAATTTCTGTAAGGTACCAATAAAGAGATGTGTTGGGTACTGTGTATATGTGTTATAGAGATGTCGCGAACCATTCGCGAACTTCCCGCGAACGGCTCGCCACGAACCGTTCGTGGCGAGCTCCGGGCAGCTGAAACATCCCGGCCAATCTCCAGCAGACCCTCCCTCCCAGACCCTCCCACCTCCTGGACAGCATCCATGTTGAAGCTGCCTTCAACATGGATGCTGTCCAGGAGGTGGGAGGGTCTGGGAGGGAGGGTCTGCTGGAGATTGGCCGGGATGTGTCAGCTGACCGGTGCTCGCCACGAACCGCGGCGAGCCGTTCGCGGAAGTTCGCGAACGGTTCGCGACATCTCTAATGTGTTATTAATATATTATCGATTTTTAAATGTTTGCCTGGACACATCAACACATCAGAAAACGTGTTTGTGTTCACTCTGCTCACGTGCGAATACCCAGGAATATTTTAGGATATTGCTTAAATTTTAGATATGGATTTTAAGGACTTTTCAAGTCCTGTCAGGTGCCAAGTTCACTAAGATTCTGTGGATGCGTTAATGTGGCCCTACACCTTCCTTAGAAGGATTGCTATGCCTAAACTTGAGTGTAATATAATGTATGTAACTAATTTTCATTGATTAAACAATGAATAAAATGATATTGTGACTGCATTAACACTGTTAACAGCTCATCAGCAGCTGTTAATCTTCTGAAAACTATCAAACCGAAGATTGTAATTTACCCCAGAGTACCTTTACTTTCTTTAAAATAACACTTTAATATATTTTTATAGCACTTTACTCCTTTTAAACATAGTATCTGATTCACCTTTAATTGTACATATTGTGCCCTGAGAAAATATATTTGACTCATTTCTAAAATATTAGTCAAATGGCCTAACACTCTACCTTACTTCTAACACTTTACCTTATTCTAAGTCCGTACCTTATGGCGTAACGCTTGCGCTAACTCTGCATCTTACCTCTACCAAAATCTCTGGAGAGTTCACATCTTAAATTAACAATGAATACAAAAATAACTGAGGATACAAGAATCATTCCCTATCTGTTAAATATAGCATTTGGATTATCAATGGATTTGAATTTCATTTTCTAATGAGATTATGTTGCAGTGTTCCTACATTTCTAAGCTAATCGAATATCTGTTGGTATAAAAAAGCAAAATACACGCAGTATTTATCACAGTGAAAGTAGTGGGAAATCTTTGTCCAGAGGATGTCCACACAGGTCAGTCTGCTTGATGATGAGTGCATTTGAAAAGTATTGGTGAATGGATGTCAGATTATCTAGAATCAAAAAGTTGCGTTGAGTCACTTGAGTATTTCCAAACAGTGCACTGATCATGTTATCCTCTACAGGCTCCACTTCAACTGTTAATGTATTTTATCTATCTGTTAAATGTACGGACATCATCTTGAAAATATATTGAATTGTTCTTTTTGTAATGGACATTTATTGGACTAAAACATAGTCATAGGCATCGTTGTCTTCATTGTTGGTTTTTATGGTGGCGTAAGTGGTGCATGGCGTGGTGTTTTGATCCGCACTTTTGTCTTTCATTGACTCCGTAAATCCAAAGTCAATAGTTGCATAATGTAGCTCATTGGATTTTATCGTTTCTTCTCCAGATTCAATCTGTAACATGAAAATAAGTCACTATTTAGTAGATAGCAGCAGTACTAGAAAATATTATTCAAGAAAATAGAATTAAATCTAATCGAACGTTTTTGCCAGGTACTTTCTGGTTTAAAAATGTTGGCGCAATATTTCTTGGAAACGGTATCAACAACACAGTTTATGATTTTGTAAAATATAGGGTTTTTCCAGGTGCTTTAAAAACCCACAATACTCTCTTTGTTTTTCTGAATATACCTTGCCCTTCTCCATCATTGTAAAAACACAGCAATCAAATGTATGAAGATGTCTATTTCAGGTTCAAACAGAATGGAATACTGCCACAGATATGTTTACACACAACCATACATGTGTTCACATTTACTCATATAAATACGCACTCCACAAACTTTACATTCACAAATTAATTCAGACAGGGATTAGAGGGAAACAGTCACTTCTCTAGAATTCACACTGGTGAATAAAATACTGAAAATCACCTATAACTTGTTTTCTAACATTTTCTCATAATATGTTTTGTTTTCTTTTAAGGTTATATAAATGATTAACCCCTTGGTATAATAAGTCCCTTCAGGCTTTTTGCAGTAAACACAGTCTTTTCAGTGAAAGTGAAAAAGAAAAAGTGTTTACATTACAGCCTAGAGATACCCCCACTGGCCACTGCTCAGATGACTACTAGGGGTGCTTAATGGGGCAGTGCTGGACACTGTGCAGTACTGTCATTCAGTGTCTCCAACCTCTGCATGCAGACACTGAACTTTCCTCATAGAGATGCACTAATTCAATACATCTCTATGAGGAGATGCTGATTGGCCAGGGCTGTGTTTGACTTGTTATCTATAGATATATAGAACAGTTGTTCCATTTGTCCTCTTCTCAGTTTGCTGACTGCCAGGTACAAAGGGCAGAGCTAATAAAAATTGATTAGCAGGGAGCTAAGATGGAGGGGGTCAGTTGCAGAAGATGTGGAGTTTTACATATCATTTGAGTTTTATTATCGCACAACAACACATTTGTCAACTAGTAGGATATGTAAATATTTAATTACAAATTGTGACCGTTCCAAATTACTCACATAAATACTCAAATAAACACAAACTATAAACACCTTCCAACACTGCATTTATCTATGGCACATGCAGCAAGTGAGGAAATGGTAGAGATAATTAATGTGGATTAATTACATTTTATGATTACAGAGGAAGAGGAAATTACACATTTCATCTTAGACTTAGAGCGACCTGCGTAACGGAGAATTGTCAATTGTTTGTTATAGACAATTCCTCTCTTGGTCATCGTAATAAATGCCTTAGGTGTTCAACTTAAGAAGAAACTAACCAATATCTCGGTGATCCAATCCTCCATCTTCCTGAGATGTCCACTACACATATGTGTGCTTAACATTATTTACATTTGTTTATACCAGGTTCAAAATCCTACGCTAATAGACAGACCTAAACGTTACTCATCATTGCAAGCCTGGCGGTCCACGGCACACTCACTAGGGCTGAATTTTAATCTCTTTGTGTGCATATAAATTATTGGTCACCAATCGAAGGAATATAGTTCATATGGAGCAAATACCAACATTTGCCAGAACAGCCAAAAAACAAATAAATGAAAAACTTGAGGAATATTTAGAAAAGAAAAGAGTGTACAGTAATTAAAGGAACACTAAAGTCACCTAAATTACTTTAGCTAAATAAAGCAGTTTTAGTGTATAGATCATTCCCCTGCAATTTCACTGCTCAGTTCACTGCCATTTAGGAGTTAAATCACTTTGTTTCTGTTTATGCAGCCCTAGCCACACCTCCCCTGGCTATGATTGACAGAGCCTGCATGAAAAAAAAAACTGGTTTCACTTTCAAACAGATGTAATTTACCTTAAATAATTGTATCTCAATCTCTAAATTGAACTTTAATCACATACAGGAGGCTCTTGCAGGGTCTAGCAAGCTATTAACATAGCAGGGGATAAGAAAATCTTAATTAAACAGAACTTGCAATAAAGAAAGACTAAATAGGGCTCTCTTTACAGGAAGTGTTTATGGAAGGCTGTGCAAGTCACATGCAGGGAGGTGTGACTAGGGTTCATAAACAAAGGGATTTAACTCCTAAATGGCAGAGGATTGAGCAGTGAGGCTGCAGGGGCATGTTCTATACACCAAAACTGATTCATTAAGCTAAAGTTGTTCAGGTGACTATAGTGTCCCTTTAATAATTAAAGAGAATTTATCAAAATGCAGCAATATCTCTGATATGACAGTTCTGCTTTAAAGAGTATGTTGTGATTCAGTTTATAAAACGAGTGTGGTCATCATTATGTTGTAGATATGTGTTGGTTATTTTGCTTGGATAACGTACCTGTATTTCAGAAGAACAGGTTGTTATTGATTTTGCATTCTCTGAAAGATTAGCAATATGAAATATAATGAATTTCTAAACAGACATACCATATGGATTCATACATTGAATAGTATTAAATGTCACGTTTTATACTATTACAGACTTTGGGGGCATTCATAAAAAAATAAAATTGGCACCAATATTAAAATCACTCCTTCAGTATAATCCTAAAACTGACTTTTCTTAGTATCCTATGCTTTTAGCTGTCTTGCCTTTGAAGAATTAAACACCAATCCGGTACAGACTATCCATTCCCATGGGTTTATCCTCTAAATTCTGAAATGTAGCAAATTAAAAGCCAAATGGCAAAATTTACACCAATATAAAACTATAGTTGCGTTGGTGAGTTTGTGGCTTAAATGTTGCAATTTCAATTCCCTAGAATTCAATATTCAATGGAGCAAACCCTTAAAGGACCCCGAATGTCACCCAGACCACTTAGACAAATGAATCTCAAAGAAGTATGGGTGCAATGACCCTTTAGTTTCAACCCTGCAATGTAAAATATGTCAGTTTTGTATAAAATAAATAACAAAAATATATAATTCAGCACTTATAAAATGATTACAGTCCAATGGCAGCTTAATCACCGAGTACAGAGTTTCTCTTTTCCAGTTAAAAGCTGGATAAAACAGAGGGAAGGAGCACGCTATTGTGGTGTACGGTGTACACTATTGTGGTTCTATTTTGTTTCTTTCTATATACATACTCACAGAGAGATACTGACTACGCCTATAGCCTTGAGTGAGGATTATACCACTTCACATTCTATTTTTGGAGCCAATCTTAGGGCTCCATTACATGATACCTTTTACAATTATGACCATGGAAAAAAATCTGCACTACACTATATCCTTAGGCAAGGCTCTTTCCGCCCAGGCACATAAATTGGAGCTGGATTAATGCTCTATAAAAGTGTGAGTACACATTTTTATGTTAATTATATCAACAACAGTTTTAATATACTACACTATTAGTTTCTTCTGGTTTTTTTTTTTGTCATTGCATATATCCAAATAAGAACTATTTAGGCGCTGCAATGTTTACATTGCAGAGTTAAATAAACTACAAAAGGATATATACCAATGCTATTCACTTAGCAAAAAACATTGACTCACCAACAATAAAAACACATAATCACCACAAAAAGGCTAAAGACAAAACACAGTTATGTAGGATATGGGTTAGCGACCACAATAGACCAAGTTACATGGGCATGGGAGGAAGAGTCTGTGTCATTGACAAGGACAGAAAGGTTTGAAGGCATGGGTAAGTGAGGTAAAGATAGGGACATCTAGTGACATGGGAAGAGATAGAATGGCTTGCGATACGAAGAAAGCCTAATAAATGTGAGGAGATAATGAGACTGTGGTGAGATGGTGAGATTGACTAGAGGAGTGGAGTGATGGGGACATCTTGGTGAGCATGGGATGACCATTTAAGATGGTGCCACTAAGGTAAGAAAGAGAGAAGGAATAGGGAGATAGGGACATTGGGGTCAGCTGGGAGGAAATAGTGACGTTGAATTATAGGAAGATTGTGACACTAGAGTGGGAAGAACGTGACAATGGAAAAGGACAGAAGGTAGGATTTGCAGGGTTACAGAGTGGTTTTCAAAGAAAAGGCAGTGGTTAACATTGGTGCGTAGTAATAACCACTGGAGGTGCTTTCTAGTCCAGTGTTGAACAATGTACAGCATTGGATGGAGGTGCTGAATGCTCCTCATAGAGATGCATTGATTTAATGCACCTCAACATGGAGATGTTGATAGGAGCAGTGCAGCATAAATTCACCTTTTTACTGCGATCGGAGGGGGCTGGTTATCTAAACAGCCACCTCAGGACTATAGTGCCAGCTATACATAATGGACACATGTGCAGTAAACTTATTAAGGGTTTTTAAAGATAGTATGTATTAATTATTAAACAATAATGACATATTTTTATATAAAGACATACAGTATACATGATAGGCAGATAAATGTAAATCATTTGTTTTGAATTGTATTGAATTTAGAGCAAATTCGCAAAAGTATTGTACCATTTCAGCAATTTTGCCTTTTGCATGTTAATTCTTCATAGTTCACTGTTTAGCTAATCAACCCCTAAATAGTCATAAAATGTTAACAGGATCATTATCCATAACTTAAAATAATAAAAAAAATAAACAGAATAATAGAAAAAATACCTTCTTTTAACGTGGCGAGAGTCCTTCTGTTGTGAAAAAAAAAATGCATTAATCGGTGAGTAACGTACATTTAACATTACTATTAATATTAGTATATAAGGAAGCACGCAGCAATACAGTGACTACATATATATAAAAGCTATTTATTTATTAATTTAGCCATATAATAATAAGGAATGTGAGTGATTAAAAATGGTAAATACAATGTATCCACATAGAATCCACCTACACACTTATTATATCTATTGATTAATTACTACCAATACTAATATTATGATAATAGTTTATCTTAATATTCCATATTCCATTTCATATTTATCTTCATACCATTTTCCTTCCTATCTAATGCTCTTCTCCAATTTTTCCATTATTTAAACACACTTACTCCCAGCTCCAAAATCCCACTATTTATCTATCTGTCTGTCTGTCTGTCTGTCTGTAAGGCTTCACAGTTCGAAGATATAGATATGTAAAATACAATGCCTATGTTATTATAGGCAAGTGCAGGTGAGGCGACGAACACGGGATAAATCTGCACACACTACAGGGATAATTTGTGGGCTTCAGTTACAGCCTGCAAACCCGTGTATGTTACAGATTCATAGGACAACTGTAATTACTGTATGTAAGAATTCCGATCATAAACAGAAATTATTATTTTACAATATTAGGGCAAAAAATGCAAAATTTTCCTTATAAATACTTGTAGACATATTATGTAACATTTTATTTTGATATGTGTGACATAGAAAATGTTAAGTATTCTTCCTTAAAAATGCTGCAATACAAACACATTTCCATTGCAGGGTTAGGAGGACAGGGGCAATGCACTCAGTTTGCTTCAATGGGATGAAGTGATTTGGGTGCCTATAGCAATCCAATTTTACAAGTAACTGTTATGCGATTTTTATTTTTGAAGCAACAAGAATTTGGCAGTGAAGGGATAAACCTACGAGAATTCACCATTAGGAATTCACCCTAAGGAAAAACAAAATTACATCAACCAGCTTAAAAATTTCACCTTAGCTAACTATTACAAACAAACAAAAAAGAAAATAGTCAGAGAAATCCCAATTTTATTAAATTTCAAGTGAATAACCCCATTAAATCCCATGAGTCGTTAACAACAAGAGAAACTGCAAACATGATAAAATGCTTGTTTCATTTTAAGTCGATATGCAGAAATGAACTTTATATTATGCAATTTTCCTGGAATAGGAGGATTTAAAATTTTTCACACCGCGTTTACTGCTAAGTGTACAACCATAACGATTTCTTTGAAGTCAGGTCATGTAGGGCATTAGACTGGGTCAGTCAAAGGAACACAGCAGGCACTATATTAACTACAGCCTAGAGCCTAGTAGTGGCCTGATGCCCTTCCAATGCATGTAGATACACTGTCTTTAGCAGACTGTAGTGTTTATGGTGTCTGGAGTGTTCCTCTAAATCCATCATATCATTATTTTTATTAGAAACCCATAATAAGATCATTTCATAACACGCAGAGCCATGTTTCTGTCATTCATTATTTCAAATATTCACTATATTGTAATAGGAAAATACAATTATTATTATTGTAGGGAACCCGTCCGTCCTGGGTGACAACCCTTCAGGGCCGGACTGGGACAAAAATTCAGCCCGGGCAATTCAAGGCAGAGTAGCCCACTAGGAGGGGCAGGGCCGGAAAGGGGACGTGTAATGTCACCACCATAACTATTTGTGTTGTATTGTATGTGTAAAGGGGTCTGTTTGTGGTGTACTACGTGTGGCTAGGGGCTGTAGTTTCTGGGTTGTAAAGTGTGTGTGTGTTTAGAGGGCCTGTGGAGTATGTGGGCCTAGGGGATGTAGTGTGTGCATGTAAGGCCGTACAGTGTGTTTGTGAGTGTAGACCAGATAGTGGAATATTACCACATCAAACAAAAACCAGTGGAGCGCTGAATATGTACACTTATATGTACACATAAGGGGATAAAATACAACAGAATGTCTGAGGGAAAGAAATAGACAGAATATGGTGCAGTATGTCTCAAACAAATAGAGTGATATATTATCCGTATGAAGCACACTCACATGGTGAGATAGAGTGTATCTAGGGGCTCTAGTGTGTGTATGCATATACGGGCTGTAGAGCACATGTGTATAGGTGCGGCAATGTATGCATAGGTGGTGTAGTGTGTACAGGGGGTGTAGAATGTGTATTTATAGGGGATATAAATTGGTTTGTGTGCATGCAGGGGGTGTAATATATAGTGTTTATAGGGGGTATAAAGTATGTGAGTGCAGGGAGTGTAGTGTTTGTTTAGGCGGTATAGAGTGTGTTTACTGTGCGTATGTGAGTGCTCTGTGTATAGTGTGTATATAAGGGGTACAGAGTGTGTGTAGTGTGTTTGTGTGAGTGCAGAGGGTGTAATGTGCATACAGGGATATAGCGTGTGTGTAGTATTTATAGAGAGGTATAGCATCTGTGCAGTGTGTTTGTGTGTAAGTGCAGGAGGTGTAGTGTGTACATAGGGGTAGAGTATGTAGTGTGTTTGTGTGTAAGTATGCTTGTATGTTAGTGCAAGGGGTGCAGTGTGTCTGTGTGATAGTGCAGGGGGTGCAGTGTGTTTGTGTGTTAGTGCATGGGGTGTAGTGTGTTAGTGCAGGGGATGTAGTGTGTGTTAGTGAAGGGGGTGCAGTGTGTGTAGTGTGTGTGTGTGTAAGTGCAGGGGGTGCAGTGTGTTTGTGTGTTAGTGCATGGGTTTGTGTGTTAGTGCATGGGGTGTAGTGTGTTAGTGGAGGGGTTGCAGTGTGTGTAGTGTGTGTTAGTGCAGGGGGTGCAGTGTGTGTGTGTTAGTGCAGGGGGTGCATTGTGTGTCTGTGTTAGTGCAGGGGGTGCAGTGTGTGTGTGTTAGTGCAGGGGTGCAGTGTGTGTGTGTGTTAGTGTAGGGGGTGCAGTGTGTGTGTGTTAGTGCAGGGGGTGCAGTGTGTGTGTGTGTTAGTGCAGGGGGTGCAGTGTGTGTCTATGTTAGTGCAGGGGGTGCAGTGTGTGTCTGTGTTAGTGTAGGGGGTGCAGTGTGTGTGTGTGTGTCTGTGTGTATGTGAGGGGGGTGTATATAGATATGGTCTTAAATTAATGATTTAATTTTTAAAAAAAGTAAAGCAAAAACAATGTACCATTTACTTCCTTTTATAACGTTGTGGTTGGATATGGGCTTAAATTAATAATTTAATAATAAAAAAAAAAAACATTTACTCCCTATTATAACTGTGCAGAGGGGAGAGGAAACATGCAGGTATCTGGTGGTCCAGTGAGGGGGGGCCACGCCGCACACAAAACCCTCGTGGTCTAGCCAGCAGGTAATTTCAGTATGTACCCCGCAGGGTACAGACCATCTCCCTCTCGCGAGCACAGTTTTTTTAGAGCGTTGCTGCGGGTTACCATGACAACGCTCTGATAATCTCTGAGCTAGCAAGAAGAAGAGAAAGGAAGCTGCTAGGCGTGCGTGGAGGGTGACCGGCTCACTGCCCGATCTCCCCTCCGGCCCATGATGGGACAGAACCTCCATCTTTGGGCAGGTGCTGCCCTGCATGGGCCGGCAGGAGAGATATGTTGATCTTTCCTGCCGGCTTCGGCCCATGGCCATCGAGGCCCACCGGACATTTGCCGGTTTGCCCGATGGCCAGTCCGGGCCTGCAACCCTTAGAGGGGTGCTGCGGACCCCGATTGCACTAAATTCATTATTTCAAATATTCACTCTGTGTTATTGTAGTAGAAAAATACAATTATTATTGTAGGGAACCAGTCCGTCCTGGGTGACAGCCCTATAAGAAGCCTGAGACCTTAGGGTAGAGGTATCGGAGGGTGCTATCCCCAAAGTTCTGCAGAGTCCCAAGTAAATCATTACGTTAGCTTGCTACGCGTGACAGATTGATACTATTGGTACCCTGCCCAGGGCACCTGGAATCCAAATCCTTCTCTAATGAGCAGAAATCTGGTCCTTTATCTAGACTGAAGGTAGGTCTTTTACAAGGTTTGAAAAGGGGTAGCTCTGATTCAGGGGTCGTGGCTCCGACCGATGAATAAGTGCTAAGTAGTCCTGAAATTACTCTCCCAAAATGGGGAATAACCCTCAATGAGAAAACTTAAAGCAAAAAGAAGGACCACAAGAGTCCTGAGTAGGAGAGTAATATGAAAAAGGGAAAAGGGGAGTCCCTACCTTTTAATGATTCTAAAGATACACACAGCAGGACAGGTAGGAAGAGATATAGCGAAAAAGAGCCTTCCAGAATAGACACAGGAAACCAGTTGCTAAAAAACTGCCTGCTAAATGTCTAAAATCCAAATGGCACGCCCTCTAAGTCTTCCCAAAAACAGGGGCCCTAATAGGAAAAAGGGGTAACTGAAAAAATAGGGGTAGGGAGCAATAAAAAGGAGATGCCCCAAGGAATAAATCTTAGGCAGAAAGCCCCTATAGAAGTCCACTTTCCCTAGTTACCTCGGCACTGTGATAAATCACCAGTGCCTACCAAAAGACCCTGTCCCTGCCTGTCAAGGATAAATAATAACTGATAAAGTAAATTAAATTAAATCAATCCATCAGTGCTACCAAAAAAGTGCAAAACAAAGAAAATAAAATAAAAAGAAGCTCGACGCGCGTTTCAGCGTTTCAACACGCCGTCGTCAGGAGCAATAACCTTTTGAAGTTCCCTGTAGTGATTTAAATACACCTTGTTACAATCTGTATGGGATAGAAAACAGCTGTTATACCCCACGTGTACTGCCGTGGATGCTATAAGCTTATAGGTCAATTGCCTCTTTAGTCCACCTCTTATCCACCGCGTCATATGACGCGGTGCTACAATGAATAAGGGGGCGTGATAATGAGACTTAAACGATGCCCACGTGGGGAAGATATAAAGTTGATTCATCCACAGAACTTTAAGTTCATTGCAATGAAGTTAGAATTAAAATTAAAATTAAAACTAAAACGTTATTAGGGTATAAAACTAAAGAGGGGGGTTAAATTGAAATGACAATTTATAGTTTATAAAGACCCAGTGTGCATGCGCAGATACTGGTTACCGATTGGTCCAATGTATATCCCTCCTGTCCGTCTATTAATTGGATCTGCCGCTTGTCAGTCACGTTGTGTGACGTGAAACTGAACTAAATCGAGGGACATAATATTTAAGTGGTACCCCCATAAAATCCAGATCGGGTTGATTATTCCGTAAGGATTGTAAAGTGGCGGTATAAAGGTTCGGACTCTCATTAAGATCGCTAAATATTGAATAGTATTAGTCACTAGTGGGTGGTGGTGAACTCTGTCTGCATAAAGCTACCCATCCGCCAGATACAATCCTGGCATGGGTGGGTGGGCATAATACAAGAGATAAGACTGTGAGTGATGCCCCCATGGGGTCAACATGAAAACATGCATGAGATCCCCATAAACAGGGACCCAATGTAAGCCACTAAGTGACAAAAGCGATCTGGACATAGTTAAATACCCTGATAATAACTAATACTAAGTAGTATAAATTGAAGGTGCAAATGTTACTACATGATTTGCAAAAGTAATAAACCATATCCCCTAAGTATGTCCATATGATGGACAGAATTAAATAACATAAGTAGATAATTACTATAGTATGTATATCAATACATTGATGTAATGACAGGGGGCTAATTTAGAGTGTTACAGTGAGGACTCACAATCCAAAGAAATGGATGACATAAAGTCCAGGTGACAATCGTTCGGGAACAAAGGAAGTTTTGCAAAATAAAGGAATCATAATAGTATGTTTATTTATAATGTAGTGTATTAAATTCATCGGTGAACTAATAAAAATTCCCTATAAATTATTTTCATCCAATATAGAGAGAGGAGAAAGAGACAGTGAACATATGTGGAGAGACATCGCAATTCAAGGAAATTAGAGAAAAGCGGTAAAGGAGAAACCCTCATTTAAGCCAGCAGGGGAGAGGGTCTTGAGCCTGTAAATCCAATAGGATTCACGTTGTCTCAGTTTCTTATCCCAATCACCCTTGCGTTGAGTTTGTGGGATATGTTCTATTCCCATAAACTTTAGCTTATTCGCAGAATTCAAATGGTGAATTCTCAAATGACGTGAAATTGGAGTTTCTAAGGGTCTTCTGACCGAATTTACATGTTCCCTTATCCTTAATTTGAAAGGTCTAAACGTTTTCCCCACGTATTTAATGCCACATGAACAGGTGAGTAAATAGATAACACCTTCCGTCCTACAGTTAATAAACGAGCGGACTGGAAAGGTTTCTTTATTATTACTGTCGGTGAATTCCTTGGATTTCTGATCAATGAATTCACATGCGCTGCAATGTCCGCACCTGTATGTCCCCTTGGGCAGATAATTTTGAGACCCTCTTTTGGGAGGGGATAGATGACTCTGCACCAATGTATCCCGTAAGTTTTTACCCCTCCGTGCTGTCACAGAGGGAAACGTGGTAACTACCTGTTTGACTTGTGGGTCAGATGTCAGGATTGGCCAAAATCGCTTTAGTGTGCCCATCATAAAATCCCAACCTGCATCGTACGTGGCGATACATCGGATTAATTTTTGGTCTTGTGCTTGCACCTTAACATCTGTTAGGAGTGACTCACGTTCGGTGCTGATTGCTCTAGTGTACGCTCTGGAATTCCACAGTGCTTTGAATAAAGGAGGCTTTGTAATGAAGAAAAAGGATTGCTGGACTGCAGAATAGGGAGCTTTGTAAAAACGAATAAGGGAGTGAATTTATAACCATATATAGACTGGGGCTTCTTCACTAGTCCCAGCTTATAAATAGTGTATTGGTTAAGGAATGCATTTACTGAACAGTGAATTGTAGTTAACAGACACAATAATTGCAAAACATAGACCGGACTAGACAAAATGGAATCTTATTAAATTATTTAACAGTAACTTCCGTGGGCAGAATCCCAAAAGCAAAAAAAATTTTTTTAGCTGTGCTGGTGAATCTAAATTTATAGCTACAATGAACCATGTATTTTGCAAGTTTGTTGCTAATTCATCAAAATCTACTGTTTTCTGGTAAGGCCACGTGAAGGCATTTCTATAAATATTAGTGATCATTAGCTGAGCATCATCTCCTAGCGTTAGAGTGTTAGTGTTGACACAACTCTGAATCTTGCACATCCGGCCTGTTGTCAAATCATGCCAATTCCACCTTAAAAACATCGCCCGCATCCGCCCCTTTATTACACAAGACGCTATTAAGGAGCTTGTCCATGCTCTAGTAATCTCTCGCATGGACTATTGTAACTGTCTCCTAATTGGTCTTCCCAATAGCCGTATTGCCCCGCTACAGTCTGTAATGAATGCTGCTGCAAGACTGATTTTCCTCTGTAGTCGGTCCTCTCACACCTCACCCCTCTGTCAGTCCTTACATTGGCTTCCTGTATGCTATAGGAGTCAATTCAAAGTGCTAACCCATACCTATAAAGCACTGAATAATCTTAGCCCAGAGGCAGTGATTGCCCAGAGCAACTGCCTTGCAAAGACTTCTCATTGAGCTGAACTGGGAGGTCTGTGACTGGACAGCCACAGAAAGTGTGGGCGGGGTTAGAAGGGGAAAGTTTGCAAAGGCTGCAGATAAGAGATCTGCAGGTTTTGCAAGCTATTTTTAGATATAACAGCAAAAAAAATTCTTAAATGCATCAAGTTTTCATTTGGGGTATATCTACTAAACAGTGATTTCATTTATTTTGTATTTGGGCAAATAAGTGTCTTTTTTTTATTTTATTTTACAAGGGAGGGTGCATAGTCTAAAAGCAAATAAACATAATCATTTTTAATGTTAGAATGTTCCTTTAAAAATGTGAGTTCAAAGAGAATGTTAAATGCTATGACACATTAGCCAAATTGGAAAAATTCACCTGAAAAGTCACTTTTAATCAACATTTTGCAAATCACTTTTCTTGCTCACTAATTCACACTGAATAACTCTGGCGCTGATAGAAAGATAAGAGATTGGCCAATTCAAATATAATGGTCAAAGTGTGAAAGTTACACAAACACCAAGGAGGAAACACACTACGTGGAGGCAGGAAGAGATATATGTAAGGAAACAGAAGAACACACATTGAGAAAAACCACACAGCACTGAATGTTGAGTATCAGGACTGCTTTGGTCAGTAGCAGATGTAGTGCGTGCTGAATGTTACCTCTTTTATTACTTAAAGGAAAACTATAGTCACTAGAACAACTACAGCTTATTGTATTTGTTCTGGTGAGTATAATAATTCCCTTCAGGATTTTTGCGGTAAACACTGTCTTTTCAGAGAAAATGCAGTGTTTACATTACAGCCTAGGGATACCTCCACTTGCCATTCATATGTTAGTGCGTCAGCATTAGAATGGAATGATGAACCAGGAGACCCACTCAGTAGAGAAAAAAGTACCAGCCACTATAGTGCATGCGCTGTAGTTGTTGTGACAGTGTGCAGGAAATCTGCCAGTAGGAGAGTTCTCCTGCTCTCCTCTATCACTCACTTCTTGATTGCACAATGTACAGATTTATTCATTCTTGTATGCTCTTTCATAAGAGTTTGATTTTGTGCACCCATGCAAGGTACACTCTAAACTTAAAGTAACACTATAGTCACCAAAACAACTTTAGCTTAATGAAGCAGTTTTTGTCTATAGATCATGCCCCTGCACTCTCACTGCTCAATTCTCTGCCATTTAGGAGGTAAATCAATTTAAATCAATTTAGTTTTTGTTTATGCAGCCCTAGCCACACCTCTCCTGGCTGTGACTCACACAGTCTACATTAGGAAAAAAATAGTTTAATTTTCAATCAGATGTTAACTTACTTTAGCGGTTTTTGTCTCCTGCTCTGTAAATTGAATGTTAATCACATGCATTAGGTTCCTACTAGCTTTAGCAAAGTATTAACAGTGCAGGAGATATGAAATTTTAAAAATTAAACAGGATTTGCAATAAAAGAAGTATAAACATTAGATCTCACTTTACAGGAAGTGTTTAGGAAGGCTGTGCACTTACTTGCAGGGTGTTGTGGCTATGGCTGCATAACAAAAGGTGTTTTAACTCTGAAATGGGAGAGAATTGAGTAGTGAGACTTCAGTCTCATTATCTATACCTGCTTCATTAAGCTACAGTTGTTATGGTGACTATAGTGTCCCTTGAAGCACAGTTTTAATGAAGCATTCCTAAAGCATTCCTAAACATGTCCTGTCAAGAAACGCTAATGTTTAAACTTTAAACCTGCAGTCACTTCTCTGTCATTTTAGGAATGTTGTATAAACAATGTAATTTAACTCCTAAATGACAGAGAAGTGACTGCAGGTGCGTGATCTATACACTGAAACTGCTTCATTAAGTTGTGTTTGTGTCCCTTTAATTCACTAGACATGTGTATGGCAAAAAAATGTGGCTCAGCCACACCATTTTGTCTGCAATAAATTTTTGCTTCAGGTCATCAAACACTCGTCCATGTGGTTCGGCTCGTCCGTATATCATCTATGTAAAAGATTCAGGGAAAAGATTCGGAAACGGCTACACAATGGCAAGCATTTTTTTCAGCTCTGAGGTGTCTTAATTATATTAATTATAATTATTCATAATATGAATTATATCTCTTGGAAAAAAAAAGTGAGAGAACTCAGTCGTGATCAGTTGAGAATGTTTCAAAAAATGAAAAGAAAAAGTCAGTGTGCAATTGATGACCTACTCACTGCTTCTACCCTGACAACAACAGAGCTGTCCCACACATCCTGTCTGTAGCGTGAGTGACTGTCCGCTTTAAAAAAAAATTAACATAAAACTAACAAAAAGCAGAGTTCTAGCAGCAGCAGGAATAATTTAATCTGAAAAATTGGTTTAAAAAAAAAAATGAAAGCGTGGAACAGATGAGTGTGTCATCAATTGTCAACAAACTTCTTTTCAAAAAAATCCTTTCATTGTAATGGTTTTGGCCTGACTGAGTCTTGTGGTGGTGTAACTAGCCCTGCCAAAACACTTTGTTTTAACACAATGAAGGACCGCTACTTACACTTCTTCCACCCCAAGAAGAACATAGCTCTCCCACACATCCAGTCTGTCGCGTGGGAGACTGTCCTTCAATGTGGACAACAACAGTGTCCTATCAGTTTCTGCCATCTGCATCTCTGCCGAGATTGCAGGAATAGTCACACCGCAAGACTCAGACTGTCTCTCACCAAGAATGAAAAAAATAAACAATTAACCACAGATCAGTTAAAGAATTCTAAATCAGTGAGTCCAAGTGGGTGTACATGACACTAGCAGTAGCTGGTTGTCAGCGAAAAAAGCCCAGAATGCATTAATTGACTGGAGCAAGTTAAAGGGACACAACAATCACTAGAACCAGCGCAGTTTAATGTAGTGGTTTTGGTGTCTATAACCTGTCCCTTCAACCTTACCACTCTAAACACTGCAAAAAAAGCAGAGTTTACATTACTGCGACTGAATTCTAGCAGATTTATTTGCTGACGTGAGAATTGCTATGAATTTTAATTAAATTCAAAGTGTATTTTAAAATTTAGAGCAAAAACGTGCTAAATTATAAAAAATAAAAAAAATATTCTAATTCATTTTTCCTTTAAATGTAAATCCTGGAAATACACTTTGAATTCCGGTCAACTGTCACTTTCGTAATTACCCTTGAGAGTGTTTTGTGTTTGGCTACATGCTCAGGCGTGTTTTTTTAATTTATTAATAACAGGGCTATTCGCAAAAGTACGAATTCAAAGTTGAATGCGAAGTGAAGTTCACGTTTAAGGTCACAATAGCAGCTGAAACTGTCAAAATTCAGCTATGCTTTCATATCCGCTTCTCTGGCACTAAATGTGAGATAAACTTTGAATTGTCACTCTAGTAAATAACTCTATAGTTGTGTATACCCTTTGAAACCTTGGATCCTATAGAGGTAAATCCTATCAGGAAGGATACTTTATTACTTTTTTATTTATTTACTTCTATTATTTTATTTAAATTATTATTGTACCTGGCAGAAGGCCAATGTTTACAATATATGAGCTAAAAATACATAATACTTATTGGTTAGAATGTGTTTTGCTATGTCATTTGAAATTCCCCTGTAAATCCATATTATGAAAATAACCTAGTGAAAGTTCACAATTACATGTTTACTATTACAAGAAACCATTTAAAAAATGTTTCACGAAAAAAACATCCAATAGTCCCCATATTATTGCTGTCGTTTTTGTTTTTGTTTTGTGTGTATAAAATTTTGTTTGTAAGAATTCCCCTGTCTTATAAACCAGATTATACATCTCATTATAAAAACAAACAAACCAACCAGATGGTGTATGATAACACAACATGATTTCTCATTGGGACACTGTGATCACTACAACTACTTTATCTTATTGACGTTGTTTGAGTGCCTACAGTAGTTCCCACCTTGAATTAGCCCCCGATATGTTTTACTAATAGAAGACGGATTGGGAGCGCAGCTTTAAGTCACGGCTCCAAGCCCTCGGAATAGGATAGCTTCTCCTACCCAGGGGCCCCTGATACAATAACCAACAGTTATGGAAGTACACGTAGGGCCATTTGATAGTCAGTCACATTATTGTGATTAAGGTAGATAGCACTAAGTGATTGTGACGGGACACAGCATAGATTGTTGGTGGATTCTGTTTTACGTTATCTCTTATCTAACCGTTCTATTTCATTCTATCTTTACTACGTCATTTTACTGCAAACTTCCCTGTTTCAGGTTCTGTATATGAAGACAGTATTCCCCTTTACTTCATTTGGGGCCAGTTACTTTAATGGAAGCACATAGTATTGCTAGTCTAACATTTTGCTTGTTTCTTATTCTATTAACTCTGTCACAACAGCAGCTGTTGTTTAATACAGAGTATTTTCATTTTTTTCTCTGCACACTGTCTGTATTCTTCGATAAGCTATAGTATCTGAGTGTAAAGACGTGTATACAATCCACTGGGGAAAGAGACACAACCATGAAGCTCTTCATTTGATACAACTATATCAAAGTGTCACGGTTTCAGAAATAAGCAGCACTTTTACTGACTGTCTGCATGTTTATATATTTTACTTATTCTTTATTTTCTCTTTTTTTATTGATTCCATATGGATGGATTCACATTTTAATGCTACTACTATATCAAGTAATATAAGCACTCTTAGCAGCTTCAAATTGTCCAGTTAAAATTAAGTCGCACAACAGGTGACTTAACACCCCACTCAATAAATACTACCACTTAAAATCTTGAAGGTAGTATGTACATTCACTTATGATCTGCAAGAAAACATAGAATATAGACCATAGTGTAGTATATTAATACCAAGTATAATAAACAAAAACCAACTTGGTCAAACTCACATATTGCTGAGCCTATTTGTAAGCACCCACGATACCACACTTACCTCGGTCGAACTGCAGATTTAGGAACTAAAGCAGCAACAACTTACCATTGCTGAAAGGATGGACACCTTGGAGACCAACAGAGAAAATATAACTTAAATTGGAATTCCGGAGTCTGTCGGCCTCACTGACTTGACACACTACATCCGATGCCTAATTGCAGTCCTCCTACCGCCTAAACAGGCAAAATCACTGAGACTTGATGAACTGTTTCGCTTCCCAAAGCCGAAGACGGCACCCGCAGCAGCTTCTGCAGACTTATTATAAGGCTCCAGTCCCTCCAGGAAAAAGCCCTGATCCAAAACATGGCCCGAGGGAAGAACCCCTTAACCTTTGAAGGGTCCACTCTATCGATGTTCCTAGATCTCACACACGCTTGCCTGGAGAAAAAAAAACCTAGAGCCTCTCGTGGCACAGCTGTGCCTTAGGGACATACCCTATCACTGGGAAACACTGAAGGCGATCCTGTTCACTCACCAGAGGACTGCCTACAGATCTCGCAGCTATCCGGAACAGGAAACCCTCCTGCTAAAGTTAAGCCTTGTTGACCACATGGGTAGGAAAAGCACAGGACTTTCCCACCTGAATCCTGCTAGGATAGCGGAGTTCATCGTGCGGCCATCTCAGACTCGACATGAAGAACAGAGAGAGTCGGGGACTAACTTTAGAATCCAAAGAACTCCCTCTTTCCACCACCATAAACTGGCTCCCAGCATGGTTCGCAACACCACAATATGCTAAAGCTTGTTTTATTCTCCGTTACCATTATGCTACCATTTATTTCCTATATTGACATGTGTCTTTCTAACGTAAAACAATGAGACATCCAAGATTATGCAGCCGTTGGGTAAAAGCTGGTGGTGGCTAGTCTTAACCTAACAAGCCCCACTAATTTACTTACTACACGTTGTAAGCTTTCGAGTACTAGCATGGGTGCAAAGAGGGAAAAGTGCCCCTTGATGAGCATTGCCAAACCTGTGAATCCCCTACAAACTTGCATGAAAGCCCACAAGAGGTTAACAGGTTGAGCCTTAACTAGTTGTCACCACCTTGGTTTTTCATACATTTTTCGCCTTTATCGTTCAATATTTCTTATCATTCTCAAAAACACCTCACTCATGTCTTTGTAAACCTGACAACCTGATGCCTTCCAAGATTGTACTTATATGTGTACTTATTGTTGTGTTTCCTTATTGCTCTGTATTACTACCATGCTGAGTGAAGGAAAAAATAAAGAATAAAACAAACAAACAAAAAAACCTTTGTGTACGCATATCCAATCCCAGCTCCGATCACCTTCGGTGGTAAGGCAGTGCTCTGCCTCCTCCAGCGTTATTTGATGGGGTTGGGGCTAATGTGCATGTGCGGTGAGCACTGCAAGCTCATTAAGGCCTTCCCATAGGAAAGCACGTGAGGACGTCCAGCGACAAAAGGTCAGTTAGCCACCAGGAAGCACCTCTAGTGGCTGTCTGAATGTAATTATTGCAATTTCTCAAAAACAGCAATGCTTTACATTCCAGGACTAAGTGTGATAGGGACACTTCCCTCAGACCACTTCAATGAGCTGGGTGTCTACAGTGTCCCTTTAATGGTTTAGCAAATTACATTATTATCCAGTTCAGTTAAGGCTCAGCCAAGGCTCACACAGAAATATAGATATTGTTTAATTTGCTCTCTCCTCTGTATTCTCTATTCTGACTGACAGAACTTATAACAGTGATTGACATGGACGCCAAGTAGGAGGATAAAGTGGTGTGTGTGGATTTCTCTACTTAGATTTTTCACGCCACATAGCTACACTATTGGGAAATGACAGATTCCCTTTGAGGGATTGTAGTATTAAATTAGTTTTTATGGCTTTGATACATTTGATACTATCATGGAGACAAACCCCACCCCTAACTGGGAAATGGTGGCAGGCAGGCACTTAATATCCTGTGTTTTTATTTTAAGGGGCATCAATACAACTTTCACGCGTTTGATTTTTTTTTTTTTGGCCTCATTAATGTGCTGTATTGTTTACATGTTCAAACCTTTATAGTTGTTACTCAAAAAACTAAATGTTTTCTGCACTATAAGCCTGTCTCCTTAGCCATGCCCGCCCATGCCAGAAAGGCTTTAGAATCAAAGGCAGACAGAGAAACTACAAACAGGTAGTTATACCTGTGACGGAACGCTGGCACTCCGACTGAGTACCTCCGCCAATCGATGCTCCTAGTGCTCGCTGAGGACTCCAAGCACTCCAACCGACACCATCAGCACTGCAGACCCCACTTCCAGCGATGCAACTGCGCAGGGGTCTCTGCTGTTTCCACCCACCCTGGACCCATGGCCAGGATCCAGCTTCCAGTGGGTGAACCTCTCTTTCCCCAGAGAGCAGGAACAGGAACAACTCAAGCTATTGCAAGAGCTTCCTCTGGGGAGTAAGTGATTATAGCAATCCCCAGAGTGTAGGTATCCCTTCCCCCAAACATGAGCCAAGGCTTAATGCTGGAACAAGACTGATTACTGGCACACAGAACTCACAATTTATGCAACACAAAACTCCTCCTCTGGGCCAGGCTAGATAATTGAGTTTCTACAATACACAAAGCTCAATTATCTGCTGGCCAGAAACAATACAGTTTCATAAAACACACAGGGACCCCAAAACATGCAATAACCCCATAAAAAGTATATCCTTGGAACCGGGGGATCTGGGTGAACCACATATCCAAAATTTACCCAGATCCGTTCAGTACTTTGGAAAATACAGTTTAATGCAGATTCTGCAGAACATATACAGGCTAAATGAAAAACAATCACTGTATAATGTGTCCCCTGCTGTATAGTCCAAAACCACTACACGATGTCTCTGTGCACCAAATACTGGCGAGATGGCACTGTGTTGAAAAGTCCAAACAGTGTCTGTGAGTTAAAATGGCCGCCATCCATTGTTCTCACCATGTGCTTCTGATACAGGAAATGGTGGCCACCCAGTAACTCCACAGTATGTCCCTAGATGGTTCTTAAAGGGCCAGCAGCAGCACAACACAAATCCATTATGCCCAAATCATGTCTTTAAAGGGCAATACATCCCAGGGGCCATAGTCACAGGGCAAGAGGCGGGCAAGCAGTCCTCTCCAGGCACAGGTGGCGAAGGGCACTTTGTCACAATACCCTTACTATGTCTCCCTGGGTGTCCTCTCCTTCCATGGCAGGTTGCTTTGTTGTTCAGATTACTCAGTATTGTCAGTGGCTGAGCTGTGTTCATACATTTGACAAGGAAGCCTATTTCTAGAGTGGGGGTGCATGGTTAAAGAGGCAGGCTTATGATGCAGCATTCTGCAAAACTTTTGTTTGTAGATTAAATGGGACACTGTAGGCAACCCAGGCCACTTCAGCTCATTAAAGATGTCTGGGTGCAGTGTCCCTATTGCACTTAGTGTTGCACAAAAACATTGCAGTTCCACAGAACTGCAACATTTACATTTCAGCTCTAAGTCTGCCCACAGTGGCTGTCTATCAAACAGCTACTGGAGGCGCTCCGGAATCCAAATGAACCTTCGGTTCTGTTATGACGCTGGACGCCCTCACACTTTGCATGAGGACCCTAGCATCAAATTTCTCCCATAGGCAAGCATGCACATTAGGTCTCCCACGCCGGGCTGACATCGGCGGAGCCTGATCCAGCGCCGTGAAACATTGTCGCTGGGTTCAAGTAAGTAACTGACATCGAGGGGGGGGGGGTGGTACCATTAAACCTATAGTGCCAGGAAAATGGCTTTGTTTTCCTGGCGCTATAGGATCCCATTAAGCATGCAAAAACTAACGTATAGTAAAGAGGCCAAAACCTGTTAAATGCATTCAACCTGTATTGGTGATCACAGTGTCCCTTTAAGAAACATTGCTTTTTGTGATGGCTGTCATATGCTCATGACACTGCCCAAACCTCAAAAAAAAACTGCTACTAACTAACTAGCATACAAAACTAACTGTACCCTAACCTTCGCTGTGCACCTAACATGTATATATTTTACTTTTTTTATTTTATTTTTTTTTTAAATGAATTTTACTCCATAAGCCCATCACGTCTCCTTCTTCAAAACCATTAGGGTTATCCCTTTATGCCTTTAGATCTGTGTGATGATGTAATAAGTGTGGTGTTTTACAACAGCAAGCTGCAAATAAAGCGCATGTCCGAGAATCACTCCAAAAAACGTAACTGAGCTTTATAAATGGCTGAGCTGCCTCATGGCTTAAAATAACAGGAAAAGCTACACAGCTTGTTAAACAGAAACCATATAAAAACCCCAAATGTGGGTATTTGTATTGTCTAATACTTAAAATGTACTGATATTGCATTTATTTCTAATCTATACAATGTACTAAAATGAAACGGTCAGTCCCAGCAGTTGGCAGATTTCAGATATAGAATTGCAAAGCATTATTTACTAATGTATCATCTCGAGGACAACGGTGAACACTCCTGGGGTAGAAACACAAACATCCACTGTCTAGCTTATTTTATATCTAAAATAGCTAAATTGTAATTCAATGTATTATAGACACATAAACAAGCTACGACCACGTATATATTGTGAATATCAGCTACTGACTTCTCTCTATGAGCATATCTTTGACATGGAATTTTGCCTGGTGTTTAAGTGGGATTAGTAAGGAGACAAGTTATATTCCATATATACAGGGTTAGTAAATAGCTGAGATATATCCCAGGTATAAAGGGTCCGTAATGAGCCTAGTTATACCCCAGGTATAAAGGGTCTGTAATGAGCCTAGTTATACCCCAGGTATACAGGGTCCGTAATGAGCCTAGCTATACCCCAGGTATACAGGGTCCGTAATGAGCCTAGCTATACCCCAGGTATACAGAGTCCGTGATGAGCCTAGCTATACCCCAGGTATACAGGGTCCGTAATGAGCCTAGTTATACCCCAGGTATACAGGTCCGTGATGAGCCTAGCTATACCCCAGGTATACAGGGTCCGTAATGAGCCTAGCTATACCCCAGGTATACAGGGTCCGTGATGAGCCTAGCTATACCCCAGGTATACAGGGTCCGTGATGAGCCTAGCTATACCCCAGGTATACAGGGTCCGTAATGAGCCTAGCTATACCCCAAATATATAGGGTCCGTAATGAGCCTAGCTATACCCCAGGTATACAGGGTCCGTGATGAGCCTAGCTATACCCCAGGTATACAGGGTCCGTAATGAGCCTAGCTATACCCCAGGTATAAAGGGTCTGTAATGAGCCTAGCTATACCCCAGGTATACAGGGTCCGTAATGAGCCTAGCTATACCCCAGGTATACAGGGTCCGTAATGAGCCTAGCTATACCCCAGGTATACAGAGTCCGTGATGAGCCTAGCTATACCCCAGGTATACAGGGTCCGTAATGAGCCTAGCTATACCCCAGGTATACAGGGTCCGTAATGAGCCTAGCTATACCCCAGGTATAAAGGGTCTGTAATGAGCCTAGCTATACCCCAGGTATAGAGGGTCTGTAATGAGCCTAGCTATACCCCAGGTATACAGGGTCCGTAATGAGCCTAGCTATACCCCAGGTATACAGGGCCCGTGATGAGCCTAGCTATACCCCAGGTATACAGGGTCCGTGATGAGCCTAGCTATACCCCAGGTATACAGGGACGGTGATGAGCCTAGCTATACCCCAGGTATACAGGGTCCGTGATGAGCCTAGCTATACCCCAGGTATACAGGGTCTGTGATGAGCCTAGCTATACCCCAGGTATACAGGGTCCGTGATGAGCCTAGCTATACCCCAGGTATACAGGGTCCTTAATGAGCCTAGCTATACCCCAGGTATACAGGGTCTCTGATGAGCCTAGCTATACCCCAGGTATACAGGGTCCGTGATGAGCCTAGCTATACCCCAGGTATACAGGGTCCGTAATGAGCCTAGCTATACCCCAAATATATAGGGTCCGTAATGAGCCTAGCTATACCCCAGGTATACAGGGTCCGTGATGAGCCTAGCTATACCCCAGGTATACAGGGTCCGTAATGAGCCTAGCTATACCCCAAATATACAGGGTGAGCATAAATCTCATTAGTTTTATATTTTGGCGCCCACGTTGGTACTAGCAGTGTTATATTCCACAGGCGAATTATTTTATACTCTATGGGATAACACTTTGTACTAATGTCACCTTTCCTGTCTTCTACTGCCTTAATGATGCAATTAGAACTAAAATACTTTTGGGGAAATAATAATGTTAGCTCACCTTGCAGATTTTGGAATGCAGCTCCCCATTCCTCAAGTCCTGCTTTCTACCTTTCGAGGTGATTTTCTTGTTGTACAGACGGGTCACTAACTTAATTGACAAAAGTGTCTTGCTTTCTCAATAGTAAATAAATAATCACATGCTTTTGAAGTCTTTCTGCAATAGCATCATTCTAAATAGAGACCGCAGAATGCATAGACAGGAAACTGCTGTAACTAGTCATTTCCTGAAACCTGGTGCAGATCTTTCTCTGTGCGAATCCCTTGTTACTTCAGAACGATGTGCCGTATACAGATATTACAATCTGACAATATTAGAATGCGTTTGGTAACTCTGATGACATCAGTTGATGCCAACATAGTTCCAAACTGCTCTCCAAAACCAATGAACCACCAGGAGCAGGGGCAAGCTAGCAACGGAGTGGAGCACATTTTAGGGTTTTGGACTACTGTTATTTTTAGTGTTATTTTCACTTCACTATGTCCTTGCATCATTGTTCCATTCCTTAGATTTATCTACTTTTTTTAATTTAAATTCTGTATTTTTAAAAGGCTCCCTAGGCTGTAATTTATCCATTCGTGTGTTAATGTATTTTATTTTATAGTTAATGAATTAATTATAATATCCAAAAACAACCAAACCAAAATGAGAAAATAGAATTAAAGAAAAAAAATTAACTTATTTTTATGGTTGCTGCATTTGTAGAATATTTCAAGTTTCCATATTCAGTTTGTGGCTGAAAGTCTTATAATAAGGAAGCTGTTTCAATATCCACCTTTAACCCCTAAGAGTCATTTCAAGGTGAAAGGTGCATTGGGTAGCGAAACTGTAGCACATCTTTACCCTTCAAGAACCAATAATGGTATAATTCTGCAATAACACATCAGCCTTTCTGATTCTCTATCAAATGTACTGCAATCTTACACCAGCTACATTACAAAAATGACATTAGAGCCTTTGTTGATGTAGAAAAAAAATACTGCTCTCTAGTGGTTTTTGTGCAAAGTTACAGCAATGTTTGAATCTTGAGCAGGCTTTAAATATCTTCAATGTTTAACCCCTTAGTGAACGGACCGTTTTTCAAATTTCTTACCGTTAAGACATTACATTTCTGCGGTGTTTGTGTTTAGCTATAATTTTCCTCTTACTCATTTACTGTACCAACACATATTATATAACATTTTTCTCACAATGAAACGGTCTTTCTAAAGATACCATTATTTTCATCATATCATATAATTTACTATAATTTACTAAAAAAAGGAAAATATGATGAAAAAAAAACAAAAAAAACTTTTTCTAACTTTGACCCCCAAAATCTGTTACGCATCCACAACTGCCAAAACACACCAGGCTAAATAGTTCCTAAATTTTGTCCTTAGTTTAGAAATGCCCAATGTTAACATGTTCTTAGCTTTTTTTGGAAAGTTATAGGGCTATCAGTGCAAGTAGCACTTTGCTATTTCCAAACTAATTTGTTTCAAAATTAACGCGTTACATTGTAACACTGATAGCCCTTCACATGTATATGTATTAAAAAGACAACCTAAGGTATTAAACTTGGGGTATTTTGAATCTTTTCATGCAGCCATTTTACCACCAATCTATGCCAAATAAAAAATAATAATAATAATTGGTGATTTTTTGACACACATAACAATTTAAGAATACATGTACTGAGAACTTTAAGGTTTACTTCCAAAGAACAGCCCAATATGTGTTCAGCAACATCTCCTGAGTACAGCGATATCACCTATGCAGAGGCGGCTCTCTAATTAGGCGATTTAGGCGGCCGCCTAAGGCCTCGCGCTGTGTGGGGCCTCGCGGCCGCCTAAATCACCTGAGGGCAGACTGACATGTCGGGTCCTCGGTCTATGACCGAGGACCCGACACAGGAGGGGGCCCGGCGGCTTGCCCTGTATGCCGCCGGGTGCGAGGCCCCTCTTGTCAGTCCGCCCGGGGTGAGCCGGCCTCAGTCTGCAGCTCCGCCGGGTGTGAGCTGCAGACTGAGGTATCTCGCACTCTCCAGCCAATCAGAGCGTTGCCGCGGGTTACCACGGCAACGCTCTGACTGGAGATCGCGAGACACTCACCACGTGGTCTGCAGCTCTGCATCCGGCGGAGCTGCAGACCGGAGAGACCACTGGACCACCAGGGACAGATTGACCCCACTGGACCACCAGGGAAAAAGGTACATTTTGATCCCCTCACCCTGCACCCCACCTGTCACCCCCCCTCACTGCCACCTCACCCTGTCACCCCACCTCACCCTGTCACCCCCCCTCACCCTGTCACCCCCCCTCACCCTGCCACCTCACCCTGCCACC